AAAAATTTTTTTTTTTTTTTTTTTTTTTTAACATCTATGCAAGTCGATTTATTAGTTCAGTACTTACTTTCTAGGTTCAAATTAATAATCATTTATATTATTATTCCCCAGTATCTTTTAAGAGGGATGCTAGGGTTTGGATGTCCCGGGTTCATCCCTCTGACATCATGTAGCCTCACGCAGGAGGCCACTTTTCCCTTCGTTCACTCTCCTCTCTGATACCGCCAATCATTCAATGTTTCATTCTCATTCCTTATTTAATCATATTATTATTTAATTTAAATTATACAGTATATCCCACAAAGAATATCTTATCTTCATATACAAATATTGAAGGTACATGCATATTTATAAAAAACAAAGTTCACATGTAAAAATCCTGCTTTATTGATTCGGGATTGATATTGTTTTCTCAAATTTAGACCAACAAAACATAACAAATATTATTTTCTTAATCCATTGCTGGTCATAATATAGTTATAGACTACTGATAGATTACTGGTGTGGCGTCTATCTGTTAAAATGTCTAAGTCTGGTGTCCGGGCCAGAGTAAACTCGGGCTACTTCTCACTGTATGTAAAATCACGAATTACAATGACAAATACTTTATTCTCATAAACTGGTCATATTGTAGATATTTTACATGTAAAACATTTCTAAACGTGTAAAGGAACTAATTAGTAGTGTTAATTCGGTTAATTATTACCTTAATTAATGTAACTATTGAGATTAATTCATCATTAATTACTAATTGAATGGAGTATTTGAACTTCAATGTACTACATGTAGGTCCAATAAATTAACCGGATAAAAATGTCCTCCTTTTAAAGTAAAATTTGACGGTCGTTATGTTTAAAAAAAATACATCAGGGAGAGTGCGTATTGTTACATCTATATTTGGACCTAAACTAAGGTGTTCAGAGTAATTTTGAATGTTTTAGGGGTTTAGATCAACTTTCGGTAAAAATGACACCCCCAATGATCATAATTTGAGGGTGTCATGTTTACTTCTAAAACATGTAAAATTACTCTGAACACCTTAGTTTAGGTCCACATATAGCTGTAACAAATTATCAGGTCACGTGGTTTAATAAAGAGGTAATAGACACAGCATACATGTATATATCTATTATCATACTCAACAGAGACCAAATGGCTTTAAAGGGACATAACGTGAAGAGCCATATTTTGTTTAATGAATGTGTGTGTTGTATGCACTTCCACTTATGTTACCTTGCTATCCCCATATTCATAGTCCGTTCCAAATGTTCAGTTTAATTTGACCACTTGAATTGTTCGGGAATGAAAAAAGTCGATAAAACGTCAGAATAATTCGGACTAAGTGTCAAGAGCCACGCCGCGCGGCAGCGGCTATTGGCACTCGCAGTGGTAATAGCGACGGCCTAAATTGTTTTCGAACATTTTCGTGTATTTTTTTCGGAAATTATTTATAAAAGCTTTAACTGTGCAGTGAAAACAATTCCAGCGCATAGTTATAGTTTTTGACAGCGAAACGGTGATCGTTGCGCTGTGGCTGTCACTCCATTGACGGACATGTCTAATTAAAAGATTTTTTAAGTGACCACTTAATGTTGAATGTAAACTCTTCATCATCAAGATAGATTTGTAACGTTGTATCCAATCCGTCCTCTCTCTAGATCTGTCTCTTGTTTTCAAATGTCGGTATTCCAAAACACCTTGTAGCTCAAATTTAACGACATCTCCTCCCGAACTGCTGAATTCATTCAACAAAATTTTGTTCGAATATTGTACAAATAAAGTTCCTGATCCCATGGGGCCAGAGGAGGACCAAATTGATAAAATTGTTTAAACGTCAATCTCTCCCTAAATGCTCAAGACGTGTTTTTTTTACCAAACTTACCAATTATGTGTAGGGAGCAGGGGCGGATCCAGGATTCCTAAAAGGGGGAGGGGCGATAATTTTTTCTAAATAGTCAACGGTGTGCTGCCGAAGGCAGCACCCCGAGCGCGTAGCGCGAGTAGGGGGATGGTACGGGAGTTGGTGTCCCCCCCCCCCCCCTCCGTAAGGGGGGTTGTGGGGATCCCCCCTCAAAAAATTGTGTTTTCTAGAACGTCTCAGAAGCGATTTCCCGTGTTCTGACGATTGTTTTAATGTTTAATTAACAAGAAGAAAAAAACATATTTTAAGTATGGCCCAAAGACTTTTTTTTGTGTACTGGAAAGAAAATTAAAGTTTCGGTTCAAATTCTCTATCAAAAGCGTGTTTTAGAAGTCAGATGGTATTATTATAGGGGCAACCTGGTGATGACAAATGTATGAATCCACAGGGGGCTTGTTCATTATTACCTAATTTGGCGTCCCGCCCGCAAGGGGGATACGAGAGGTCCACCGTCAAAAAATAAATGTAGGGACGCACAATATCTAGTCTTCAGACATTGTACCTACAGTACAGTACTTCATGTAATAGTTTGTCGTACAAAAGAACAAATAACACCATAACATCGTTGCTGTTTAATTAATGAGTTACTCATGGCATCACTAAGTTGCTAAACAAACGGATAAGTTCAAATCAGTGCGACACCCAAGGCCACTAGCTACATAGTCTCGCGTTTCATTATTGTTGACTAATTCACTAGTGTAGACAATGATATATCTGAAATGTCCACGCTGATTAACTCATGTAAAGGCGTGCATATTACCAACAGTGGTACATTTACAACTTAGGAGGCACATACGCGTCACCTTTAAATTTAATTATCATCTCATTCTGGTACGTACAACTTATTACTACGTACACAATAGTATGCTGTGTGAATACTTTCTTGTACGTACACGATGGTAAGCTATAAGTACCACAATGAGATATTATGTTGTATATACAAGATAGTTTAACAGTTCCAACAATATATATAATACCAAAATAATTGAATGGATATGTTTAGTCGATTATACATAATATTGTCAGCCGAAAAAAACTTTATCGTTCTTGTATAATGATATGATTAATATCGCCCGGGCGGTTAGGAAGGTTACAATAAAAAGTATTAATTTTCAGATCATCTATAACGAGCGGTCAATAATATAATTATGCAACTTATGCTAGTATATTTCCGCCGAGCGTTGCAAGTTGCAACTTGGGGTTTTGCGGAGGTGGTAAAATAAAAAA